GATCATCAGTGATGTTCTCTCATCAGTGATGTTTCTCCCACCCCTTTCCTTCTTCTATGAAATCAATTAAAATATTTAATAAAAAGGTAATATGAAAATTGAGCGTCAAACACTCGTGTCACAAGATGGCTGGCCCAAGTCGTCACAAGATGACCACCACCACATCATCACAAGATGGCCGGCAGGCGAGGGCAGTTGGGGGTGACCAGGCCTGCAGTGGAGGGCAGTTGGGGGTTATCAGGCCAGCAGGGGAGCAGTTATGTGTCAATCAGTCCTGCAGGGGAGTGGTTAGGGGCAATCTGGCAGCCAGGCAGGTGAGTGGCTAAGAGCCAGCAGTCCCAGAATGTGGAGGGATGTCTGACTGCCGGTTTAGGCCTAATCCATCAGTCTGACATCCCCTGAGGGGTCCCAGATTGGAGAGGGTGCAGGCACCAGGCCTCTAGTATCAAATCTCTAGTATTAAATAAATTTATAAAAAACGATTGAGAAACACTCGGATGGGCAAACGCCCAGGCAGGCTCAGAGGTGGCAGCCTTGAGCTGCATCCGTCTGCTGAAAGGTGGCGGCGTTGACGGGCAGGCTCTCCAAGCTGGGGTGAGCGTGGTCCCCTCCGCGGGGCCGGGCCATGGCTGCCGTGCGATTCCTCCTCCAGGAGGCTGAGCGTCCCGGCTGTGAGAGGTGACACCCACTCCTCTCCGTCCTGGTCCAGCTTCCTGGCGGGGATAGACGGGCATCAGGCAGGTTGGGAGGGTCTCCCTCTGGGTCGTGTGTGGGGACGAGGACCTCGCTTCCCTTGGGGACTTTCTCAGACTCGTTTTCAAACGAGGATCCACTGGCCTGAGAGGCCGCGGCGGCGGCTGGGACGAGGTGGAGACTCCGCGTGGGAGACACACAGACGAAGAAGCCCTTTAGCGTCTGTTCTACTTGTTGCTGCGGAACAAGTTACCCTGTAGGTGTGCGTGGCCCCGAGAGCTTGTCATTCTAGAAAGTTCCCGGGTGTCCCGCTCGGCTGGGAACAGGCAGGCCTGTGGCCTGGCCTGCGCTGGGGCTGCCTCCTGCCTCCTGGCTGCCACGCGGCTCCAGACAGGCCCCCCCTCCCTGGCCTCCCGGGGCCGGATCCCACCGTAAACACGCTCCCTCCGGAGACCCGGGAGCTCTTCACAGGGCAGAGCTTCAGATCTGAGAGGCGCGGGTGGTGTTTTCCCTTTTCCCAGCGACGCGCTGGTGGAAGCCAACTCGACCACCTCGCTTTCCAGTGGGATTCGGCACAGACAGAGGAGCGAGGGGAAGAGGGCGCGAAGGCCCCGCTGGGGGGAGGCGGTGTGCGGGGCAGACTCGCCTCTTCCTTCATCGCCCAGAGGAGGAGAGAAACCTGAGTCAGGACACCGGGGCTGACAGGAGAGCACGTCCCATCCCGGGACTCCCAGGAGGGCAGTCGGGCACAGAAAGTACCCAGGATGCACGGAGCCACCCTGGGAAGCACCCTCGCCAGGTCTCAGCTGATGTCCGATGCTCAGCAACACGCTTTCCAGTCCCGGGCCCCTGGCGTCACGGGGCTGAGGGTCAGGGCCGCCCAAGGGAAGCGGGAGGAAGGGCTGGAGGCTCCAGACCACCGTCCCTAGGGCGCTGGGTTGGTGGGAATGTAGCTGACCCTCAGGGTAGGGGCCTTCACCAGCCTGAGGAGGTGCGGGCCTGGAGCCCCTGCTGGGTGGGCCGGGAGCCCCCACATGGGCCTGTGCAGGCTCTGACCTAAGAAGGCACAGTTTCAATCTGTGAACCTTTGATCGTTCGCTCTGTTCTTATGTCCTGGCTCCGAGACGCTCACCTGGTGTCACCTCAGGTGTCATTTGTTCCGTTTATTACAGCCTTAACGTCAAAGGGCCCCTGACCCTTCCCTGCGCTTTCAGGTCTGACCCGTGATCTGACTCTGACCCGTGATCTGACTCTGACCCGTGACCTGAAGCTGCCGTGACAGGCGGGTGTCACTGACCTGCCCCCGGGCCTGGAATCATTCTCCCTCCCTCACTGGTTCGGTGCTCTGACACTGCGACCTTTGACCCGCATCTGTAAGAGGCATCGATTGGAACATGTGTCCCCGCTTCCCCGCTGTCTGCCTTTAGGGGCCCTTGAGCATGCGCTGATTCTTAGAAATGGGGTGACGTACACATACTAGGAACTCCGGGCCTCATCACTGTCCCCAAACCCTGACTTGCACATCAATCACTCACTCATTCCAAGACTGAAGTGCATGTTTTCCATTGGATGAGCAGGCTGTCACTCTAACAGGCCGTGTGCTCTGAGCCATTGCCAACACTCCAAGTGTAGGATTTGGTACCGAGCCAGGCTTGGCTGCCTGCTGCTGCCGCCAGTCGTCCAGGGGCTGGTGCTGCTGGGAGGAAAGACGGTTTATTCAGGAGCCGGCAGCCTGAGGAGACTGGAGACTATTGTTGCAAAGTCATCCCTTCTTAAAAATATTTTTTCATGAATCATCACCACAGAATATTTTTATTCATTGCTTTTCAGAGAAAGGGAGGGAGAGGGAGATAAAGGGAGAGAAACATCGATGTGAGAGAGACACTTCAACTGCTTGCCTCTCTCACATGCCCCATCCAGGGGTCAGGGAGTGAACCTGCAACCCAGGAACGTGCCCTCGACCAGGAATCAAACCCGACACCCTTCCGTGCTCGAGCCAACGCTCTAACCACTGAGACACAGTGGCCAGGGCGCAAAGATCATCTTAGCAAATGGACTCAGGCAGAGGTTTTGTAGGAGGAGGAGGTGTGGGGGGAGACCAAAGGGATGCAGGGAGGGGTTGAGAGTTCTCTGCTGAGTGGATTGTCCTCAAACCCCATCTGTTCAGATCATGGGTCGAAGGTCAGCAAAGGTCTTGCAGCCGGGATGTCCGGGGCCGGAGGATGCTTCCTATGAATCCCTCCCTGGAATTCTTAAGAAAACAGGCTGCTGTACGCAATCACTTGCTGCTCACAGATCATCCTTCACAGGAGAAATGATAAGGGAATGGGGGGCGGTGACTAGCTGACATAGCTTCCTTGGCGCTAGAATATGATCCTGGGAACGTCTGTCTCTGGCCGGCCTGCCTCAGGGAGCCAGGGGGTGAGGCAGGTCCACGTGCAGGCAGGTCAAGGGCACCAGCCGTGTTCAAGGCTCGGTCACCTCCCTCGCCCAGGAGGCCTGCGTCCCCTCCCCCAGGAGCAGGGCCGTCGTCTTGAGTTCTGAGTCCCCGGGGGTTCCCCCTCCCCTGAGCCTGCCTGTCCCTTGTGCGCAGCAGGCGGGTGTATCCATCTCGCCTGTCACCACCTCCCGCTCCCGTGAATGACGGGGCAGAGCGAGAAGGTGGGGACCCAATGTCACTGTACGAAATACGACTCCTACTCCGCTCACCGTGTTGGCTCTGCACTGATTACAGAGGCACCTTCCCACC